CCTTCTCCTGTGGCTGTTCGGTCAAAATCCCATCTGATTATCATCTAGGGTTTCTTCAATTTCGAACGCCTCGCGTATCAGTTTACTAATTATTGGGATCGCTGGTTTCGTTCGCATCAGTAGGCACCATCACATGTTCACCTACTGCCTCAAATATGCCTTAAAAATAAACCTACTGCCTCAAATTACATAGTAGCTTACATGCCTTCAAAATTATTCTTCTGGGATTGTAAGGCCTGAAAACAAAAAACACAAATGAATGTTCCTTCCTCTTGGTCTATGCAGTTTAAGACAAAATCATCCGGTACACAAATGCATCTGCCGATGTTATCATTTTCCTCAATAATAAATCACAACACAGCATACCTTCAAGAAAATAATAAGGTAATACAACACAACACGAGGAAAAATTCATACCATCGGTTGGCCACTGTACTCATTGGCTTTTAAAAACTCTCATGTGCTTTCACCTTCCACATAATGCTTTTCGATTAGTAGCAGGACTTTAGCATCCCAGAATATAGTACTTTCAAACCTAGGTACACATTACAATTAGATCGAACAGTTGGGAACTCTCACATTAAGGTATCTTCTTTGTGAAAGCACGTGCAGAACTTTGCTGCTGCTTCCAGTGATTACTTGATGGGTATATATTATTCCATCAGAGAACACATTTTATTCTGATGAATACTGGTTGCAGCCTGCAGCTTCAAGCCTTCAAGTTGGAGTCCCCACTTCTTAAAAGGAATCACTTTCACTCTTTTCAATTTTCTAAATGCAATAGTTGTGTTGCTTTTCGGTGGAGCATCACCATGTACACTAACCTATTCTTGTCGATATTCTCTGGACTGTTTTTAAATTTCTAAAATGATATAGCCCTCATAGAATTCCATAGTAGGAGGAAAAAAGAGAGCTAAATTCTAAATATCTTTCTTTGTTTATGCTTCTAATCTAATGTTGTAACATGGTTTTATTTACAGAAAATGCCTTGGGGACGGAAACCTATTGTAAGTCCTCCCTCCCATCTCTCCAGTTTTGTAGGAAGGGATGTGTGGTTCTGTGTCTCAGTGTGCAGACTTCTCTTCTTTTCAGGCAAACCAAAATTCACAACATTGGTGCAACCCTTGTAGGAGTTGACACTTTTGGAAACAAGTACTATGAGAAACTACATGACACTCAGTATGGTTAGTGCATCGCCCCTTAGTTGAGCTACTGCAATTTTTATTGTCGAATTCTATTGCATGCCCACATTAGAATGTTGACCATCAAACTTATAGACATTGCCACTTTAGAAAGAACAGTATCGGATTCTACTCTCATCATCTCCTGTTGTCTAAGATTTTGTCTCTCGTCTCTTCTTTTCTCTAACGCCTGAGATTGGAACTTTGCTAACGAACATTCCAAGCTTGACGATTTGTATTTCTATGTGTGATCATACTTCTTGTGCTTCAGTGTTTCCCCCTGATGATGTAGTAGAAACTAAACATTGTTCAATCTTCAGGAAGGCATAGGTGGGTAGAGTATGCGGACAAGGGTCGCTACAATGCATCCCAAGTGCCTGCTGAATGGCATGGATGGCTGCACCACATTACAGACAGCACTGGGGATAAGGCAAGCTTTCTCTTTCCTCGTGCTATTTTCCTGCGCATATAAAATTTCTGAGATGCTTTATCCGTTTAGGCAGGAATTCCTGAACAACATGTATTACCTAAGTTGTACTACCCCCGTTCAGAAATAAGTAACGCTGTTTTAGTTCAAGTTTGAACTAAAAAAGTGTCACTTATTTCCGAACAAGGGAGTATAAAATAAATGAGCACTTAGGTTTGTGTATAAGGCCATGGAATCAATGAGACTATGAAAGTTTTCTTATTTCCCCTCCAATTTTTTTAAAAGTTTGATTATTATTTGAACGGTGCAATAGGCTGCTGAGAAACATTATCACTTTTAAGCTATTGTTAGCCGAAATGTCCTTTTATGTGTGCAAGTAGATTCAGTGCACTAGTTTTACTATTGGTAATTCGAAACCAAGTAGCTCATAAATATGACTTTCTTTTGGAGGGGACAGCTGCTGGAGGAGAAGACTAAAAAGTTCATTAGGGAGCACAGACAGAACTACACCGGACAGGGTGATGACTTGATCTACCACTCCAAGGGGCATGCTCTGAACCCAGGGCAAAGGGACTGGACAAGGTACCAGCCTTGGGAACCAAAGAAAGAAGAGGCCACCTGATCTGAATGGTACCTGATAATCCTCTTCTATGTTTCACATTTGGTTTGGTGTTGCCGATCTAAAACCACCAGTCAGTTTGGTTTCATGGACTGGTCCTGAATAATGTACTCTATCTGATACTGAATACCTGCCACTGAACAATTTTAATCTGTGTGTGATGTGGCAATAGAGAAACTGGCGATTCGGTCGTTGGTGTTTGCATTGAAGAGTTTCTTTTTCTACTGATGTCAATGGTGCGTGGATGTTGAGATTCTGAAAGGAGATAATATTGTTTGGTAAATCCGGTGGCGTTGCAACATGCCCGTGTTGTTTTGATGTTAATACGTGACACTGAAGTGTAGTACTGTATTTGATATATGGTGCTGACTAAAGGGTTTCTTTTCTTATCATTTTCTCTTGAGAAAAGGCCACCGTCATCATTGATGTCAAGAAGCTACATGTACACACGGGGAAGACACTCAACCACATTTTGTTTTTGAGGCGTAGACACTCAACCACATGGAACAGGAAACCTGGGCATGGCAAGCCTGGCCCGACAGCCTAGACTCAAAGCCTGATGGTTGAGCTGGACAAGGGCTCCAGTTTTGGCCCGAACAATTTAGTAGGAGAAAAATTCACTACAGGTCACATAACTTGAGCTGGGTGACACTTTAGCACCACTACTTCAAAATACCTGAACTACGATCCAAATACTTACGCTAGGGGTTCACTTTGGCCCGTATGTACGATTTTGTCTACGTATTCGCTGACTTGGCCAAGTCAGCGCCCACCAGCTCGGCTTTGACCGCCACCTGGTCGAGCTAGGGTCAATAGTAGTCCATCCGGGTTTTTTTTTGCAAAAACACCAGCACTTGGTCGGACCGAGCGCGCACTTGGTCGGCCGCTCGCTTATCCCCTCGCTCTCCTCTTCCTCTCCTCCCAACCCTAGCCCAACTCCCGTCCCCGCCGCCGCAGCCATTGCCGACGCCCTTCTCTGCCTCCTCCGTCCCCGCCGTCATGTCGTCTTCCAGCTCCGTCCGCTCTGCATTGCGTGGCCGCTTTGTTGCTATACCATTGATCGGGTGCCCAGATTGCGGCGAGCAGGTGAGGTTCTACCGGTCTAGCACCGATGAGCACGATGGATGGATCTTCTACAAGTGCGTCAACCACACTGTAAGTGCCAGTTCCTAGCTTCTGGTTGATTGACTCATGCCGTGTCAATTCACTGTAGTTTAGACTGTAAGTGCCACATTGAAGCAGAGCACTGCTTAAATTAGTTGGTTAACTAGTCATTGCTCTGATTAATACAGTAGTTTAGACTGTCCTTGTTTGCAAAATTACAGACAAAACTAGTTGGTTAACTAGTCTGCCATTGATTCATGCACTCTGAACTTTACTGTCACTCTATAATTTTTGTTCTCAGGTCACTTGTGATTTCTGGCGCTGGGAGCTTGAATATGTGGAGCATCTGGTTGAAACAAAGCGTCTGGTTGGTGATGCTGCTCTAGATGCAAATGGTGCAGCTGAGGACAGGAGGGAAGAGCTTGAGAGGCAGAGGACTGAATCAATGGCAGGCAGAGGCACAGCTGGAAGGGGCATGGCTGGAAGAGGCACTGTAGGCAGAGCTAATTATGCCGGCTCAAGTGAGAATAAGTATGCTACCAAGCAGCAAATTGCTATGCTTTTAGGATTAGGCAGAGAGATTTTGCTGCTGCTAAAGCTGTTGATGGCTTTTGTTATAGTGCTTTGTGTGATGTGTTTCACCTTAATTATGAAGAAGTGATGTGTTGTTAAATGAGAAGGTGTAGGTGTTCTAAGAGATCTCTTGTTCTAAATTGAGCATACTAAATGCCAATGTAGAGATCTCTTGTTTGCTCAGTATGAAGTCTTGGTTGTAATGCTTGTTGTAATGGATAATATGTCAATAATATGAAGTCTGCTTGACCTAATTGCTTTGAAATTACTGACATATGTATTTGATGTTAGAAGTGTAGTTTAACTAATTCTGACAGAAGTGTACCTAATTCTAATTCTGTCAGAATTGTACTTAACCTCATTGCTTTCAAATTACTGACAGAAATGCTTTCATAACTAATTGCTGACAGAAATGCACTTAAGTAATTGTTGTCATAAGTGAACTAAATTATGTTAACTAATTGTTGTCATAAATGAATTAACTTATGTTAACTAATTGCTGTCATAAATGTAACTCATGTCAGCCGAGGCACCCTTTTTTGAACACAACCGAACTCAAAAGCAAGCATGTACTTGCACCTGCTGCAAACACCCACCCAGCAACTTGCACTCTACATGTAGCTTTGGTCCACCACCAGTCCACCACCACCACCAGATCCCCTTCTTCTTCCTCATCTGTCATCTTCAATTTCATGCACCACCAGATCCCTTCTCTCCTCTGTCCAATAGCACCAACAGATCCCCTTCTCATATTCATCCAGCAGTAACCATGGTGTCCTGGGATGATCTTCCCAGTTCTTCTGAAGACGACTTTGTGACCAGCAAGGTTAGTGTGCTCCCCACCCAGTCTAGGCTTTCTCAACTAGGGTTTCTCTGTCAATTAATTCCAAATGTCTCTCTTTTGTTTAGCCACCTGCCACAATTTTCTGTGAGGAATGGAGTGGCTTGGCTACAGATCTGCCTAGCTTTAGATGTGGACATGGATCTTTGTGTGAGAAGCATGTGGCATTTGAATCTGTTGATAGTGGCAGAAGGTTTCTAGCTTGTGCATGGAAGGTTAGTATTTTTTTGCATTTGGCACTGTTAAACAGGAAGTCATTTGTAGTATGTTTTAAGTCATTTGTGGCATTTGAATACTGGCAGTTAACTGAATTTTTTGTTTGTTCTAAATTGTTAGGAGGTACCTAAATGCAGATATGTTGAGTGGGTTGACCCTGAGTGGCCTGATGCTCTGAAGAGGAGAAAAATAGAGGCTCGGACAAAATGTTGTGAGTGCTTAAGAAAACTTGAAGGTTCTTGATGAGAAGAAGAAGATGGAGAATGAGTTGAGGCATTTCAAGCTTGATTTTGCTAAGATGGTGGCTCAGAAGGAGCAGGCAATGAGCCAATTAGGCAGCACACAACTTGCTCTGACTGATGTAAAGGAAGAACTTGAGAAGAAGAAGATGACAGACAAGTCAGTAGCCAACATTCATCAGGTCTTCAGGGTTAAAGCAGAGAAAGAGAGGGACCAAGCAGTGCAGGAGAGGGACCAAGTGATTCAAGAGAGGGATGATTTGAAGCATGAGAAAAGGAAGCTTGAGTACATGACTGGTGACCTATTCAAACACAAAGAGGCCACCAGGGAGAAGATAATGAAGTTGAAGGCCATGCTGAATGAATTTGATTGAATTTGTGTCATTATAAAAAAAATGACTTTGTATCTTTCCTACAATGTGTACTTTCTGTCAAATGAACATGAACCTCCTCCTGGATTTGTGTCATCTGTACTTTCTGTCAATTGAAGCTAACTGTCAGTGTTTCTTATTTTGGAAAGGTTTGCTGCTTTCTATGATTGAATTTGTATGCCTGAATTTGTATTGCTGAATTTGCTGCAAACTGAACATATGTACCAAATTTTGATTAAACAAAAAAAATTAAAAATCACACAAAAAAAAAGTTTTGCCTGGGTCTCGAACCCAGGACCTGTGGTGTGATGAACTGCGTGCAATGCCAGTGTGATAAGAACGTTGCTTTGCTCAAGTGTTACTTGACAACCTACTTATTCTGCTTCCACTCCCCTCCCTGCTAACTGAATGCTTGTAGTTAACTAAATTTTAATAGTTGTCTGAATTAACTCATTGAAAAGATAACTTAATTTTTACAGTCTGCTGAAATTGGTTTGAAAAGATAACATCAAATTCTAACAGTTTACTGGATTTTAACAGTTGTTTGAATTTGTACAGTTAATTGGATTTTAACACTTGTCTGAATTCAGTTAAGACAAAATTCAGTGAAGATAAAGTTTAGTTAAGACACTTTTTTCATTTGGATTGTTGCCTTATATAGCAACAAGACACTGATGGATTATTGCCTTATATAGCAACAAGACAATTTTGGGTTGTTGCCTTATATAGCTACAAGACTGCATGAACAACATCAACAGATAACATAGAACAGCATGACATAGTTCAACTGCCACTTATATAGCATCAACATAGTTAAACTGCCAACATAGTTCAACTGCCACTGCCACTTAGTTCAACATTGACAACAGAAATTAGAAATAACTTATGTGCTTAATATACAAGCACACCTGACAAAATACACTATTTTTAACTTATATGCTAAAAATATGTATATTTCAGCATACCTAACTACTGCCTGCAACTTCTTCATGCCTGCAACTGCATGTCACCTTCTTCATCTTCTTCAGTTCATCAGCTTCTGGAGGCGCTCCAAGCGGCGAACCTCCACATGTGCCACCTTCTTCTTCTTCTTCCTCTCTGGCTGCTTGTCACCCTCCACCTGTGCTTCCAGGGCCAAGACCACCTCCACCTCCTGCTTGACGATGTCAGGAACATCGGGAAGCAGCTCGACGTCAATGGGGCGGTGCTTGTCACCCTCCCTGGCGACAGGCGCCACCATCTGGACCTCCGGCTCGGGGACGACGGGCGCCGCCATCTGGACCTCCGGCATGTCGTCAGAGAGGACAATCACCTCCGGCTCCTCCCAGCCAGTCGACCAGGACGAGTCAGGGGCGTAGCCAGAGTCGTCGTCGGAGCCAGAGTCGTACTCCGAGTCGGACGAGATGTAATTGGAGACGTCATCGCGCCCGAGGAGGTCGGGCTGGTAGTGGTCCCAGTAGGCCGTGTTGACAGGCGCGGGGACGGCCACCTCGATGTTCTTGACGCGCTCCACTCGCGAGCCAGCGCGCGACGGATCCGGCTGCCACGGCGCGGTGGCGGACCGGTACCTCCACCACCGGGCTCACTGGCCTGGGTCGTCGGAGCGCGTCTCCTGCATCACGAAGCGGAGGATGAGTGCAGGAGGGATACCGAGGCGGT